CCGGCTTTGTTTTGAGGCAATGATTTCATGGATAGCACAAGGCTTACTCAAAGGAGTTGTTTCACTCTCCACCCTTTAGATATTATATTGTTTCCACTTTTAAATTGGTTTCCTTTCGATTAGGCAAGTTGTGGTTCTGCATTTGAAGCGGAATAATCTCGTAATTTAATAAGATCCACCCATATTTACGCTTTTAAGCTTGATATAGTTGAGAGATGTTTGAAGCTAGCCAAATAAGCAGCAACGAATATATTCCTTTTTTTCTCTCAAAATACAATATTTAGAGTCACTATGAATTTGAATAAGTAATACAATAAAGTGAGGATTGCATGTATTAGTCATCACTTGGGGCTGCCCCACTGTAGAGCCGCCTGTATGACAACGCGTGCTGTGTGAACACAAATTAAGTCTCTCTCTCTCTCTGTCTCTCTTGGTCTCACTCTCTGTCTCTCTGTATATGTCGCCTTAGTCCCTGGCACATGGCAGCACACAAAGAGAGCGCGTGTCCTGCCTGTGTATAACACAAACAGTTTGTGTCCTGCAAAGGAATGCTCATTGAATAGAGTGAGCAGAGTGAGAGAGAACGCACCAACGCGCGCATACCGAATACCCATAACCGATAACACGCGTCTTCGTCCTCAATCAAGAAAAAGTCACTTGCAAAGGCTCAAAGTATTTTTCGTTGCCTACTTTTCGTCTGCAATCGCCTACACATGAACGGGCACACACACACAGGCGCGCCGGCTGCCATGGAGGCACACATTGAACTCAAACAATTTGATCCAATTGCGATTTTAATTTACATTTTTATCACACAAATCCGCCACGGCAATTTGCGAGCTGCCTGCCCGTTTATTAGCAACGCGCACGCACAAATAAAGAACTGGCGAACAGTGGCCAGCGAGCATCGCTGGCAGCTGCAGCTGAGAGTTAGAGCACTGCCTGGCCTGGCTTTTTGGATGGGGGTCGCTAAAATGTAAACATTGGGCAGACGTTTGACAGTTGCCGGGCACGAGAGACACGAGACGACGGCGCTCACGAAACGAAAAGTGCACCTCTACCTGTCATGCGCCGCTTTTTAAACAGCTCCCTCTGTTGGTAAGCCATCGCATCTCATGCCCATTTATTCGTGTAGATGGCGCTGCAAGCACTTGGTTATATCGATAATTACTTGTATTTTCGCTTTAAGACCGTTATTCAACAAAACCAATCGAAACATACATGTACACCCATATTCTTATAAAATTTAGCTTGGTATTCATTTAAAGGCTTCGAACCTCTGGTTGCCTTTGCTTTCGTATTAGTTTCACTTTTTTGTTACCAGCGCCAAAAATATATTTCCTCTCTCAGAATTTCCCTTTATTAAGCAAAAAGCCGTTCTCCATTGTAGAACGTATTGTTTCAACGAGTGGTTATGATATGAGGCTGGCTTCATTGATTTAAGATTTAATATTATAATTGTAATACAATAGAAAAGTAGTTCGAAAAATGTCAATGCCCCAATAGGTAAGCAAAAAATATATAAACAAAACAAAAACTTGAATATCGGTTCTGAAACAGATTGCGAACGCCTTACATTGCAATAAAATGATTTTTTAATCAAAGATTAAAAATCAAAAATCCTTCAGTCAATGTATAAATGTACATATAAAGATTTTGAAGATCGCAGCTTGCTGTGCTACTTTTACCTTTTTCCAGCACTAATTTTCACAACTTTTACCAACACTTCACTTACTCAGGCGATGGCGAATTTTAAATATTAAAACAAAAAGGTGCCAACAGAAAAGCGCAATCGTTTAAGCATGAAATTGAAAAATCCAAACAGTTGCGATAATTTTCATGACCATGAAGAATGGTCATAAGAGAGCTATCGATATAGCTGTCCTTGCTGGTTCACAAATTATATATACAAGTATATATATATATATATATATGTGTGTATGTATGTCTTTGATTCTTCCTTCGTTGCTCCTATTGTGTATCTCTTTCTAACGAAATTCAACGTTTTATAAAAACTCTGAAATATTATAATTAGTATAGTTGAGATTCAAACCTACAGCAACAGAGCACCAAACCATTAGCATTGTGGGTAGTAGACCGATCTCCATACACTCAGACGTTCAGGGCACTTAATTTCAAAAACCACGAAATTCTTTAAATGACGTTTAGTATGAGTTAAGGAACCGACACGTTCTCATCTTTAAAGTGTGTCATTTCTGAGTTATACAAGTACACTAGCAATGGCAACGTTTGTGTACCTGAAATATAAAAGTGAACCCCAATATGAATAAGAACTTCAATAGTTTTCTTTTGCCATAGCATTTTTAATTTGTTTTTTTTCTGTTTTTTCAATTTTTTTTCTTGTGGTGTTTTGTTTGTTTTGCTTGCAGTTTCTTTGCCTTAGTTTTATACATTTGTCATATATAATCTATGTAGATATATGTATGATCAAAACTAGATCGATCAACTGATCGACTGTACGTTTTGAAAAGTTGCTTCGGCTTCGGCTTCTTAGTACGTGGTACGTAGACTTTAGTTTAACATTTAGTTGACATCAAACACACAAATATGCTTTATACGTTTTTATAGGTATGTATTTAAAATGATTTGCATGCAAGGAATACACGCAGTTGCCTACAAATATGACCCATATATATAAACATATATTTATATATATACTATATAATCAATGGCTTACACACACACACAAAATTTACGAGTTTCTGTTGCTATATAGAGTGGTTTTTTGGTTTTTTTTTTTTTGTATTCCAATTTCTGTTTCTGTTTTAGATTTAGTTTATGACTTAAAAACTACAACGTTGGTATTTGCAAATTGCCGGTTTCATATTTAAGAAACTATCAATATAGATCGCGCCCATCCCAATGCAAAATCCTGCTGTATAGTGAGCTACTACAAATTGCTCGTAATGCTTCCTTTGTTTGCTTGTATTATAGACATTTTTCCTACATACATAGTTTATTGATCGCATCGCAGACGCCCTCAACTCAACAAAAAATACTTCAGGCGCATGCCCTCAAAAGTATGCTATGTGGCACACACCACTCGCCCGTTCTCTGGCGCTGCTTGCGTCCGTTGTATATCACAAAGTGTTGATTAACGTCAAATTTTGAATGCGGCCAAACAGCACAAAACTGATGATAAGTACGCCAAATGAGAGAAATGTGAAAAGTTGGAACGAAGAGAGCAGGCGCAACAGTTCATTTCGTACATAAAAACAAATTGCATCATTCTTTGTGGTTGTAATTCCATTGATCTATTCGTCCGTGAACCCATTTTCTTTACCTACATGTATTTATTTGTTATGTAAATTTTATATAATGCATATCATTTGACTGGTGTTTTTCTTGTTACTGGTGTTCTTGTTGTTGTTGTTATTTTGATTTATTGTGTTGTTTATTTATTTATTTATTTATAATTATTTCGTTATGGTATTCATATCTAGTAAAAACCTCTATATATTTGTAGTAGTTACGAGTAGTATATAAAGTACATATGTATGTATTTATGTATGTATGTATATGCTTGCTTGCTTGTAGTTTACTGTTGCTCATGGCGAACGAAGAGCAGGAAGTACAGTACACACCAAGACATGGCAACAACGTCAACCGTTGGCACCTTCACTACCAGAACTGCTCTGGGCCTCCAAAAGATAGATTGATTGAATTGATTGATGAAATCTGCAATCATCTTTTTGACAGCCAATTACATTTGTATTTGCTATATGGTTATGGTTTGGTATGTCATACATATGTACATACATACATGGTTTGCACGTTCCAACTTGCTGTTGGTCCAGTTGTCTGCTCTTTCGTCGACTGTACTGTCTGTCCTGCTGCTTAAAAACTTATGACAAGTGAGCATGTGCTCTGACAATCTCTATAATATGCTGCCTATATAGTAGCTATTTATCAAGTATGTATATATGTGTATGTATGTAGATACTTTACTTTACTGCCTCATCCTGTTGAACTATACAAAAATACAAAATGAAAATGAAGCAAAATGTTAACAATCCCCAAAGTCATGCAACATGCCTCTCCCTCTCGCTCGCTCCTACGCTCTCCTTTCTTCGCCCTCTCACTCTCTATCACTCGCTCGCTATCACTCACTCTCTCTCTCTTTCTGTCAACATTCAGCCGATCTATTTTTTACTGTGATTTATCAAGGAATATCATACAATATGCTCGCCATTTCTCTCTCCATATACATATGTATCTCTCTGTCTTGAATTAGTTAGCCCCGTTTAAAATTTGTGTTACAATTTATGTTTGCATTTGTTTCGTGTTCTGCTTAAAGATTTTATTTTCTTTTTATGTTTCTTTCAAGTGTTGCCATTTTCTGGATTTTTGATCAACATCAAATATAGCTCTATATATATATTGATATACATACATATATTATTATATACATATAATAATATACGTATATATATTATACATACATATATGTATTTAAATATATACTTTTATATTAGCATTAGCATTATAATAATAATTATAATCTGTGTGTTGTTATGCATATGTACAATCAAGCATAAAAGACTTTTTAAATTAAATAAAAATACAAAAAAAAATGTATAGGGATGGGGATAGGAATAGGCAACATCTATAAATAAATTAATTATTAGTACAAACTAATTGTTTACCTAATTTTTAAATAATTTTCGTGCTCAAGCCTTACAACATAAGTTGCACAGTAAGAAAAAAAATTAAATATAACATAATTATACATAATTTATGCACTAGGGTTTAGTTAAGAAATATGTATTTCAATTCATTTCATTTGTTTGTTTGTTGTTGCTTTCCCTCAACTTGGTTCACAAAAAATTATAGTAGTATATATGCAGAGTGCTGGGCAAATCGGCGGACTTCTTATGCGTCGCGCTTGTAAGCAAGCTACAATTTTATATTATCTTTTCTTTTTGTTATTGTTGTTCCAATTTGTTTGCTGCTCATGCTGATGTTGGTTTCTTTTTTTCAATTTTCAATTTATTTATAAAAAAAATTCTCTCACATGCGCACGCGCAACAATTGCGAGTGCTTTTGGTGTTTGTTGTTGTTGCTGTTTTTGTCTGTTTACAAAAAATCTGTTTACACAAATTGCATTTGATTTGGCGCAACCGATATAGAAACGCCCAAACGGTTGATTTAATGCTTATATGTCTACAAAATATTTGTTATTTAAAATGACTGCAGCTGCTGCTGTTGTTGTTGTTATAGTTGTAATTGCCGTATTTGTTGCTGTTGGTATGTTGGCTTGTTTGGTCGTCATGGACAGAGCGTAAGTTGCTGCTGCCGCCGCCGGCCGAGCGTCTGGCTTAGTCTCAAATTGCTGCCTGACGATCTGGCTGGCTGGCTGCTGGCTGCCGACTGGCTGGTGGGCTGCTGAACTACTGTTGAACTGAGCGACGGACAGACAATGGCCACAAAAAAAACAAACAAACAAACTGTTGTCATTATTCTCCGCATCCGCATTAATTCGTTTGCCATCCTCTACCGCCGATCCCAGACGCCGACTGCCGCACGCTCAAAAGTGCTCCAAAGCTCTGCGCAGCTTTTTACAATAAAATGGACATTAAGACTCGCGCTCCTTCTTCACCTTGACTTCCTCGCCCAGTATGGTCGTTATCTCGCCCTGCATAAACGCCCAAGGTATGGTTGAGTTGGCCAATGGGCAGCGGTCGCCGCTAGGACAGTAAACCTCGTTCCCAAGACCCTGTTTCAGAATAAATTATATGGATTTAATAAATTGAAGAACATTGGAAATAAATGAACAGCATTTTGTGAAATTTCGCAACAATCTGGCTGGAAGGTACAATATTTAATTTCGATCTGAAAAGCTAAAAAAATCGTAAATTCCAGAGTCAGCAAAAATCAGATTTCCTTTAAGTTAGTTTTCTACTCAAAATACTGAAATTATAGATCGCAAACTCCTCTATCTTCCACTTAAGAGTAATAATTCAAAGCTTAGCTTTGGTTCTGTGTTCTGTTCTAAATGGCTTTATAACTTTAGCTTTAAAATACTAATACTAATGTTTTCCTAAATTGAAAACATAATTCTTTTTTGCCTTTAATTAATTCAATATTTGGTTTAACTGCACGAAAAATTCTGAAGAACGAAATGTATTACTTTTGATTCCACATTTTGCTGGATTAAAAACATAATTCTTCTTCGATTCAGCAAAGTTCGATTAGTATCAGGAAAAGCAACAAAAGCGATTGGTTTATTTTTGTTAATTAACCAAATGGTACCTTTTTAATGATTGAACTCTATACGATCTAATGGTTTTAAATTTAACCGCCAAAAGGGAAACCACAAGGAAGGCAAACTCACGTCTTTGTATTCCACCATTTGCCAAATATCACACAATACTGTTCATATATATGTATACATATGTATGTAGTACTTACATTTTGTCGCTTGATGCTTTCGCGACTGCATGGGAAACAGAACTTGTGATGATGTACGGACGGGCACTGCACGAAATGCGTGTCCTCCAGCCGCTCCTGGCAGAGCGTGCACTTCAGCGTGGCACTCTGGGCAGCGGCCGCTGCAGCAGCTGCCGCCGAATTTGGAGCTGAACTGCTACCGGGCGCTCCACCTGCACCGCCTATGCCGGAACCACTGCCCATTCCGGGTGCCGATTGACTGCCGCTGCTTCCGGGTCCGGGATTAACGGCGCCTGAGCTGCCGCCATTGCTGCCGCTTGGGCCAGCACCGCCATTGCTGCCGCCTGCGTTGCTGCCATCGTTGACCACCGCATTTGGTGGCAACGAAGAGGGCCCAGCGCCGCCATTGCCCGCAGAGGAGCTGCCGTTAGGACCACCACTGCTGCAGCTGCTAAGCTGTGAATTCGTACCGGGACCACCTAAGGAGCCAGCACCGCTGGCTGAGCCGGCACCCAGACCGGCTCCAACATTGCCTTGGCTCGGATTCGAGCCGCCGACCTCTGTGCTTGTGACGGTTGTGCTGGAAACATGACGGGAACCAGACGAGCGACGACCCGAAGAGGAGCCTAATGAAGTAAAAGAGAAAGAGAGGGAGTAGGTACTCCTTAGTCAATGCATTCAAACAATATGATCGAAGATCACAGAGTGTATGTATGTAGTCGTGCATATGTAGCTGTGTTTATGTGTGTGTGCGCATTCTAAATACAAAACACACACACACGTACCAGAAAAACAATTATACAATATGTAGTAATTGAAATAATAATAAAAATAAAAACTAACCCGAACTATTCGGCGAGTGTACAAGGGCTACGCTGCGAGGCGGCAGCGGCCCCGTCGGCGGGCTGGCTCCGTTGCGTCGACTGGCCGGCGACAAGTGCTCTGCAATGTAACGGATTGGTAGCGGATTAAGTTGGAACTTGTCTCGCAGACAGTTGAGTAATAATAGGCGGTACAATGTATTGGATGCGGCGCAAAGATACAGATATATAAATCCACATCTCAATAGATAGGAACTTTAAAACAAAAACCTGGATTTTACCCAAACACCCTTCCTAAAAGCACTCAGACACACAGTCGATGCGAGCGACCCGAAGCTTGCAGACCAATTCAGAAATTGGCATAGTGGGGAATTTCCGACACATCTGTGTTTATAAATAATAATTAGTACGTTATCAATTTTCAGATCAATGATTCACAAATCATCTCAGCTAAGCTCGAGGTGTTGTTACCCATGACATGTTGGAAGACTAAAAAGGAGTACAAAATGTGTAGCTTGTAATAGAGTAATCTATTTAAAGTTAATGAAATCAAATTAATCAGTGACCAAATTGTTCTCGAAACGCCCATCTCTATCAAAACATGTGACCTGACTGTATATTCATAACATTTTTTATTACACTGTAAAATATTTATAAAACATCACAGCTGTTTGAAAAAAGTATATCATATTAATAATAAATCAAATATAGTTGCAGTTACTTAAGCTAATAAACTAATCTAATAATGTAGAAATCAACCAATTGAAATAAAAAAGTAAGGAACATAATCATATCCGTTATACAAGAAAAATGTAGCTTTAACCCGCAGTATTCAGTGAATTTAAAATAAAAAAAAAATCCAACTTGGGTCCAGTCTGGCAATTAAAGCTGCTATAGAAACTTTTTAGTTTCTCCAAGCCTAGTAAGAGCTGGTACGCGAAACAGCTGATTGGCATTTGTTTACATTTCAACAGCTGTTTTATTTGTGCTTAATATTTCACACTATGGTGCAGTGTTGATTAATAATCAAATGAATTAAACACACAATTGACATTAAGAAATTACCGTTTCTTAAACGACCCGGCGAACAGTTTTATGTGAAGCTAAGTGAAAAGTTACTTTTATCGGACATTCAGAACCCGAGACTTAGACCGCGGGCCTTCACAGGAGTCTCCGCCACGCCTACTTACACATGTTTAAGTTCATGTACATATGTATATATGTACATGTGTACATACAAGAATTGGCTATATAATGCAGGAAGCCAGCACATTCAAACATAAGTACATGCATACATCTGTACATACATACATATGTACATACACATATATGTATGTACATATGTACTTTTTGTTTTTTTCTGAATGGGGCGGCTGCTGCTTTCGATTTTTCGTGTGAGAATGAATCAAAGAAAACAAAAAACAATAAAAATAAAGCATTCTCCTCATTGCGGCTTGCTTGTTAGTAGGGGCGCAATGTAATTATAGAACTTGGCACGAACGACGGCGCTAAAATGTAATCATTTACACTCGTACATATACATACATACATACATATGTACATATGCATATACGTACAAAAATATATGTATGTATATATATTTAATGTATGTATGTATGTAACATGTGGTATAAGTTAATTTATGTTTTGTTGCCCTGTATCTTGGCAACCACGCCAACAAGAACTGCTACGAGAACAACAACAAGAACAGCACGTTTCATTCAACAAAAAGGGCAGGCGTCATCAAGCAAACGGTTCGGCGCGTGACGTCAGAGCGTACAGTTTTTAGGCGCGTAGCGTGTCACTGTGCAGTTGGCGGCTAGCTTATTTGCAGTTTGCGCCACTGTGCGGCAGACAGTTCAAGACAGCTGGCGCTGCTTGCTCATTGCAAACGTCAGTGGAACCTGCCATTGGCATTTTGCCAACAACAACAACGAAAACAAGTTTTTGTTTCTGTCGCTCAATCTATGTACATATGTACGTCACAGGGCAATGAAAAGAGAGAGAGACAGAATGAAAGAGAGAGAGAGAGCAAGAATGCATCGCGGGCCGGTTTTTTGCATGCTACGTTTCCAGTATGTATACCAAACTCACACACGCAATCACATGCATACACTGGTCGGCACAATTATTTTGACGAGAAGAAAATCATACATTTTTGTCAATAACTGGTTATTGGTTTAAGATATCAAAGGAAATTTTTTTTCTCAATTCCATATTGGTATTACAAACTTAAAAATAATTCAAAGGATATATTTTTATAAGGACTTTTAAAATTATAAATCAAGGTAATTTTCATGGGTTGGCATAAGTATTTTGACAATGGATATTAACAAAAAAAACAAAGCTTAATACTAAACAAAACATAAGAAATTGATGGTAGATTAATAAAATGTATACCCGCCTTTGGCTTCGATAACTTTTTGAAGACGTCTTGGAACTGAGTCCACTAAATTTTGAAGGACCTCTAATGGTATCTCTTTCCAAAGAGAAGTGACCTCGGAAATAGTTTCTTCTTCGGTTTTATGCAAAGACGCATTTCTTTTACGTTTTACAAGAGACCACACATTCTCAATAACGTTTAAGTCCGGACTTTGTGGTGGCCAATCCAGAGTAGTAACACCAACATCGGTTAAAAATGCTCTTATCATTTTGCTTTTGTGGCATGGGGCGTTATCCTGTTGCAGGATAAATGATTCTCCAATCAGCCTGTCACCGGAAGGGAATGCGTTTTCGTTAAGGGTACTCAAATATTGTTGCTGGTTCATTGAGCCGGTGATGGGAACGAAATCACCTAACCCATTGTACGCAATGCATCCCCAGAACATGACTGAGCCTCCGCCATGGCTCACTTTTTGACATACGGGGATATTTTTTTGTCTTTGAAACTGTGGGAGCCTTACAAAAATCTTTGTTTTTGATGAATTGTATTCAAAGGAGCTTTCATCTGTCCATAGAACGCTTCTCCAAAACTCTTTTGGCTTATGCAGATGCTCCTTTGCAAAAGCCAATCTTTTGAGCTTGTTCACCTTTGATATGTAAGGTATGTCCTTCGCTTTGTATGTCTTAAAATCTACTTCTTTTAGGCGTCGCCGAACAGTACGCTCACTGATTGGAGTCTTGGTCGACTTATTCCATTGATCTGCAGCAGCTTGCGGCTTTAAATGAATATTTTTTTTAAATTCCCGCAATAGGACTCGATCTTCAATGGGTGTTGTTTTGCGGTTAGCACCTGATCTAGGCAAGTTTTTGACGTGATTGTGGGTCTTATATTTGTTAATTTGATAGTGGACTGTTTGCCGCGACAAATTATATTCATTTGCAATGTCTTTTGGTGCTACGCCGGCATTAAACTTCGCCACTATTGAGGCTCTAACAACATAACTTAATTCTGTCTTTTTTACCATTGTATCGATTACTTTTGAATCAAATTTTAATGAAAATAATGTAAAAAGGTCAACAAAAATTGTTACACCAAAGTTATTTTAGTATCACTTGATAAAACGTACGCGAAAACGGCGACAAAGATTTGGTCAAAATACTTATGCCGTGCCTGAATCCGCAGTCAACTCACATTGTCATTTGTAGAAAGAAGGTGTGAAGAGTAATAGGCAAAATATTTTGCCTACATATTGTTGTTGCTATGAACTCTATATCCCGTATGAAAATTGTACCGTTATTCCTTGAAACTAAAAGCAACCAGCACCGATAGTCGTGAGTACAGTTCGTCAAAATAATTGTGCCGACCAGTGTATATCCATTAGTATATTTGCGTATGTATATGTACATATGTATGTATATGTATATACAACACGACGACACTTTTGTTTTACTTTTGTTTTGACTTTTTTCGTCACGCAGACGGGGCAGCTAACATTTGCCGGCGTTGCCATTGTTTTTTTTTTGCTGTTGCCTTTGCCGCCACTGCCGCGTGACTCGCTGACAAAGCAAACGATGAAATGGCAACGAAACACGAACTACATATACACACATAGATATGTGTACGTACATTGTATGTACATATGTATATATAGATATGTATGTATGTACATATGTATGTAGCTAGGCAGTAACAAACCTGACAAGTAGTGAACTGACCGGGCTTTCGCAGAGGGCGGGCTACAAATGAACGAGAACATGCGGCGTAGATTTAACAGTTGACAACGCTGTTAACTGTGACTCTCTGCTATTATGTTATGCTATGTACATATGCATGCATGTATGTATGTAGCTAGTGTTAAGCCCCCTTTTCGGCCCGCTTTGTTTGTCGAATATTCAACGCACGCGCACGCGTAGCCAATTTACTTTTGCTATTGAAAAAGACAGCAAGAACAACAACAATTTCAAATTATTATGCCAACAAGGCTCGGGCACATTGCTCAAATGCAGACGTTGTCAGGTTACAGACGCGCAGTCGCACAGTGGGCTGCATACAAAATTGCGACCGCGTGGCGTTTGGAGGTGGAGTGCTGTTATGTTTATTTATTGAACTGTTGCTCGATGCTTATTGTTGTTGTTAAAATGTTCACGCGCCGTTGCTAAACTGGCCAAAGACGCGTCCGAGTCCCAGCGTCAAAAATATTGCCAATTTGCTGCCTTATAAGTCTCTGTGTATATTTATACATTCTCACATACATACATACATATGTACAGTATGTATCTTAATTTGTATAAACGTATGTACGTATTAATGTTTGTATGTATGCATGTGTGTATGAATGTTTGGGCTTTGTATTTGTGTGGTCCCACGATAAACGTATTTATAGCATTTGTTTATATTTTGCCAAAGCTAAAAAAATGTGTATTATCAACAATATAAACAGCAAAAAAGCAACACATTGTACATAGATACATACATCGTACATATGTACATAAATATGTACGTTTGCATATCGTGCAGGCAGACTGCAAGCAGCTTCACAAAAGTTCAGCATTCCATAAAGTTTGGCTTTGCATGTGTGATGGCACAGTGGTTCTTACATGATTTGCCATCAATGTCGTTTGAAATGTGTGGAAATTGTCGATGTCGCACCCACTTCACTCATCATATTTCAGAAAGCTACCATTGTAAATTCTATATAATAATAAGAAATACATGCATATACATGCATAGATACATAT